ACATATGGTAAATCTCCTTGACCACCGGTGAGAAGAAGAGAGGGGTGTGGAAGACAATGTGTGAAAATTAAAGATGGATTCCAGTATTAGGAGCATGACGATACTGCTCAATAGGAATAATTGGATCATCTAGAGGCCGAAGATGAAAAATCTTCTACAGTGTAGGGACTTGTACACACCCATTGAAGGGGTAGAACACAAGCCTAAAGGTATGACACACAACGAGTGGAAGGGACTTGACATAAATGCTCTGGAACTATTCAACAATGGTTGGAAGAAAATTTGTTCCACCATGTGTCGACGGAGACATTCGGCAAGTCACTGTGGGATAAGCTACATGACCTATACGAGATAAAAACTGCCAGAAATAAGGGGTTCCTGATCTGAAAATTGGTGAATACGAAATTCAAGGATGGGGGATCCATTGCCAAGCACTTGAATGAGGCGCAAAGCATTATTAACCAACAACCAACTCATAACAATGAAGTTGATCCTAGAAGATGAGCCACATGCTCTATTTTTTCTCGGTTCACTGCTGAATAGTTGAGAGACCATGGCAATTTCTCTGAGTAACTCATTACTTGATGAGATAGCAACCATGAATCAGGTCACTAATAGCCTGCTGAATGGGGAGACGAGAAGAAGATTGTCTGACACATCGAACTCGCAAGCACTTACCACAAATCGAGGAAAGTCTAGGAATGGGGACCAAAACTGATCAAACTGATCTAATGATAAAGCTAGATCGGAGACTAAAATTGGGATCACATGTTTTGATTGTGGCAATGAATGACACATCAAAAAAGAATGTCGAAAGCTCAAGAAAGAGTGGAATGATGACAATACCAAGAATGATGGCAGGGAAACCATTGCAGTTACTGTAGATGTTGGTGAGGTCGGAGCTGCGAAATATTGAATCAAGATACCTGAGTATCATTTCATGTTGCCACATATAGATTCTATGTTGCTTCTTACAATGCGAGTTGGCTCTATAAAGATGAGTAACAATGGTTCTTCAAATATTGTCGGTAAGGGATATATACACATCAAGACTGATATTGGGATGAAGTTGGTGCTAAATAACGTCAAACATGTACCAGATATCTATTGAATATCATCTTAAGAGGGCATGAAGATGATGAAAGGTATCGCTTAATGTTTGGTAAGCTACATTGGAAGCTGACAAAAGGATCTCTTGTCGTAGCAAGATCAAGAATTGTTGTTCGCTCTACATAACTCAAGTGCAGGTTTCTAACGACAAAGTTATTGGTGCCATGGATTAGCCTTCATTAGACCTGTAGCACAAGCGACTAAGCTACAATGAAAAAGGAATGCAAATCTTAGCAAATAAGTATGCTCTTCTTAGTGTTAAGAATGCATTTCTAAACACATATTAACACTATTTACTAGGCAAACAACATAGAGTCTCTTTCTTTAGTAAGGGTTCTAAAGATACAAAAATTCATGATTTGGTGTATTCAGTTGTGTGTAGTCCCATGGAGGTCAAGTGGCTTGGTGGCACATCATACTTCATGTCATTCATTAATAATGCTTCAAGAAAGGTGTGGGTGCAAGATCAAGTGTATGAGATCTTTGAGAATTTCCATGTTAAGATGGAAAGAAAGACATGCAAACTGCTGAAGTGTCTCAGATTAGACAATTGCGGAGAATACATCTTAAATTCTTTCAAAAGCTATTGTGCCAAGTGTGTGATAAGGCACGAAAAGACAGTGTCATATACCCCCAACATAATGGTGTAATAGAGAGAATGAATCGCATCATTATAGAGCGAGTTGGGAGTATACAATCCTGTTGACATCCTCTCGAAATTCTGGCTAAGAGAACTCTTAAAACCCTTAATTTTGAGCTCGAATGACTTCAAAAACCTCGTAGGACATAGGCAATTTAGACCCAATATAATTGACTCAAACCTGCCCAAAACTATCTCAAGTTGATTTAGACTCCGAGAGATTTCCAACGGTCCAAGACTCGCCTAAATCGGACATACAGTTAAAACGATTCATTAAATAACAATTTGGTCCATGTGAAATCCAAGTGTCAAGCCTCGAGGTGGGTCACGATGCCCAAATGCGACCTGATGATGCAAGAACTACCTTTCTCTAATTAGATAGAGCCAAAAAACTCAAGATAAATCTGAAAAAACCAAAAAATTAAAGAAAAAATACCAATTGAAACCTATAAATACCCCCTGAAGAACCCAAAATGTGACATCAGAAATCCCCAAGCAATCCTTAAAAAATAGGATATAGTTCTTAAAATTAGAAAAAATATCCCAAAAAATTATGGAAAACCTGAGAACTTAGATTCTACCTTAGGACATCCCAAAATCTTAGAAAACTAACGAAGTTCTTTCCAAATCTTCAAAAAAGTCTAGGTAGACCCTACCTAAAATTTCCAAGCTTTTCCCCATGCCTTAGGAACCCTACATCTTTGCCAAAGAACCTTATATCTACTAATTCCAGTAAGCATAAAGCATAAAAAAAGAGAGGAGATGGTGACACAAATCATAAGAGCGGTCTAATTCAAGCCTGAAACTCCGGGTTTCGAGTCCCTGGAGCTAAGTATTTATTTTTTTGCTTATTTTAATTTATTTTCTTTATTTAATTCTCTGTTTTATTTTATTTATTTTTTAAAACTTGATTTACAGACATGTGAAAAGATTATCATATTCATTTTGTTAGCTGATCTTTTTCATATTATATAGACATGTGGAAAGATTATTATATTCATTTTGTTAGCTGATCTTTTTCATATTATATCCATACTTGTATATAAAATCAATTTCAATTAGTAGCACTAATAAGAATTGTTAGATAATGGTGAGAATATGAAAATAAGGAAGATATAGAATGTAGTCTACTACAAGGGTGCGGTTTGCATAACGTGTCAACCTTAAGGGGCCGATTGGATACCTGGAAATATATTGTATGTAAAATATATTACTGACGTAATACATTATGTGCAAATGGATTGTTACTATTTGGGTAGTATTTGGATGCAACCTGGGAAATTCATGGCTATTGTTTGGCTATGTCTGGAAGAAATATGGGAAATGTATTACTAACATTTTCAAGGCCTTACCTATAAACTATCATTTCTGTCTCTTTTTTGTTACTATATTATACTGAAATGCGGAATTAAAGTTATCATCACATCATTCCAAAAATATTTTTCGATAATAACATCATCACCATTCCTAAAAGATTTTCTAATAATAACTTAAACAATTCTAAAGTCATCATCACACAATTTCTTACTTAGTTTGCACGCTTTTGGCACTTACATAGAATCACATGTCTTCTAACATGATTAGACTTTGGTTTCAACATGATAAGTCATTGGAATAACATGTTTTTAATTTGATAAGCTGTATTTTTATTTATTTATTACAGAAGTCTTTCAAATGTCTATCTATATAATTTCAAATAAGCAATAAATCCATGATACCAAATTAAAAATTGGTCCAAGTTAAAAAATGGAAAGAAGTTTGATTAGTAAACTAGAAATTTTGATAATTGTAGTAGAAGATTTTGAGGTATTTTAGGAAACTGTCGAGCTGCAAGTCTCGCGTGCAAGTCGAGCGAGAGCGAGAGGCACTGGTAGTAGCACCTTCCTCTGCCTATGGCAGTGCAGTTGTCAAGATGAAAAGAGATATCTTATTTCAATTGAGCTTTTACTAATCTCTTCTATGAGGATTATGTTGGGTGAACTTTTTTTATTATAAATGTGTTGTGTAATTTCTTATGTTGGGTGAAATTTTTTATTATTATTGTGCTGTATGATTTTTCATTGATTAGATATAAAAAAAAAAAAAATCCAGATGAGAGGAAGGGACTTAAAGATAAAGAGGGCTTTAAAGAAAAAGGAAAAAGTCCAGATGAGAGCAAGGGGCTTAAAGATAAAAGGGGTTTAAAAAAAAGGAAAAAGTACAGAAAAGAAGAAGGGGGATAATGAGAGAGGGATGCAAATCGGGTCCAAGAGAGAGCGGACGGGCTTAGAGAGGAAGGGAGCACCTATGCAAACCGAAACCAGGTTCAAGAGAGAGGGGACGGCCTTAGAGAGGGAGAGAGCACCTATACAAACCGAGTAGGCGGGTTGGTATTTTATTAAACTGGGATATGGCAGAGAGACCCACGCAAAAGATTTCTAAAGATTACTCGTCAAGCGAGTAATAGATTTTTGACATTTCACCGCCCCTAATGTATTTCATGAGTTTTTGGAAAATCTCGAGTAATCTTTTTCCATTTCCTTAATATAAAGTGTACTCTCGTAATCGATTGTCACGTAATAGATTTTTAGGTACCCAAACGGCTCTTAAACTATTCAAAATGTACCCAAACCGTGGAAATGTCATATTTCCTCGTATGGAAATATCATATTTCCTCGTATTTGATTGTCACGTGATAGATTTTCAGGTACCCAAATGGCCCCTAAACTATTCAAGTAAGTTTCACCTCCAAATCATTTCAAAAGACACTAATTTTAGTTTAAAAAATTTCAACAATGACCTAAAAATCTATTTCACACTTAATTATGAAATTTCAAACTAAAAAAATGATGCAAATCTAGTATATCTACATACACTTAAAAATCATGAAGATCAATGGTCTAGATAATATGTTACAAGACACACCATGTTAAGGACATGAAATCGAGCTCATCTATTGAAGGATGTTTCAGCGTCAAAAAATACATATTTTGATAGATTTTTTGAGGCGTGCACTACTTCTATAGTATAAGGACGACACCTTAGAGAAACCATTTTCTTTAGATGATTGCATTTCAAACTGAAGACCGTGTCTTAAACCTCAGACAAATGTGTCTTAAAGATGCGACTTGGGTGTCCCAAATCATAGACGTGCATGTTAGACCTTTGTGGCGCGATCCTCCTAGTATAGTATGATGCCGGAGCCTACACTCCGGAACGTGTCAGACACATGTTTCATTGCATTGATTATTTAATTGACTACCATTTGCAGAGAAATTGCAGCGGAATACTCTTAAGAGGGTTCAACAAATATCTAGGGAACTATTTAAGGGAATCTCTGAAAGTTTGGGACTTCAATCGTGCTACATAGAGAGAGCTTTCAAGCTAGAGGAGGGGCTCCAAATTTTAATCTGCAACTACTATCCTCGTTGCTCTCAACCAGAACTAGCAATGGGCCTCACTCCGCACTCTGATCATGGGGGGCTTGCAGTATTAATGCAGGATGAAGTTGGTGGCCTACAACTGAAACATAAAGGGAACTGGGTACCTGTCAGTCCTCTCCCCAATACCTTCCTTGTTAACGTTGGCGACCATCTAGAGGTATGTCTATTTCTAATTTCTTACAGTCTTCTTATTATGAATTTTGTCTCTCTCTATTGGATAAATCATCATCATCATTATAGCTTTTTTCAATTAATTGGTGTTGGCTACAAGTCCGTTCATTATTCATAATAAGTTTTGACAAATTTTATGTTGATTGTCTACCTAACACAACCTTGCCCCTGTGTACGGGCATCTAATATTTGAGACTGATCGTAATAGACTGTAGCTTACCTTCCACAAAGACTCCTGCCATGTTTTTGGGGAGGACAAAACGACTAAAAAGGAATCAAGCAACACAAAAGCTACAAGAGAAATCTATTTTTTTTTTAATTTAGTAAAAGATTTAATGGTTAAGGATCCAATAATGACCACAGCTTGCAAAATTTTAGCAGTAAAAAGAATAGGATTACAAGGAAAAGTGGAACCATTTACAAAATCAAACAAACCTGATCAAATTAACCATTTCTTTCCTATTTTCACAATCATAGGGTGAAAACTAAAGCTCCGAGGAATCATTCACACAATATCACATTTTTCATAGTTGGGCACATTATATAGCGATAAAGCTCGAGAATAGTTTTCTCTTTCATAAGCCAGAAGATACATCCCAAATTTTAGTTAATAGAATCACAGTTGATCTTCTTGATGACCTCAAGTATTGGCATTTTATTATACTTGCTTCTATTTTTTTTTGGGTGAATAGAAGGGTAAGTCAGTGGGTATTTGGATCCCTACCTTTTAGTGAAAATAGAATCTGAATAAGGCTCGGTGGTACTACCGCAAAAGCCCCAGCTCATTCTCAACTATACTTGCTTATTTGTTCAATATTAAATACGCGCTTTTCTACATCAAAAGAAGGTGTCAAAGCAGATGATATTAGATTCATGAACAACTGATTGATATGGCCAACAGTAAACTTCTACCTTGAGTCCCTCTATGTCCTAAAAGTAGAATTTTATCTTCAATTCCTCTAAGTTTTGAAAGGCAACAATGTCATACTTTGTAGATCTGTTGCTAGGATCATGTTCTAATCCATACTAAAGCCAACCATTCAAGGATTATACAACATGACAACATAAAAAATCTTACAAGTTTTCCTGTTAACAACCTTTATTGAAGACCAACTTTTGTTTTGTGATGTCAAAAACAAAATTGATCATATCATAGATATTGAGCAATGGGATGTACAGGAGTGTGGAGCATCGAGCCGTGGTGAACGACGCAACAGCTAGGATTTCGATAGGTTTGGCTCATGGACCGTCGCTGGATGCTAGTGTTTCACCTGCACCCCAGTTGGTAGAGTACGGAGGCCAAGCGGTTGCATATCGTGAGATGTCTTATAGAGAGTACCTCGAGTTTCAACCGAGCCATCGCCTTGGGGAAAATCCTGTTTGAATCTTGTGAGGCTTTAAAATAGTCACTGTCATTTTAAACTGTTTCACTACTCATCATGTGTTGTTGTATAAATAAGCGAAAATTATATGTTGTTGTACAAATAAGGAAAAACCATGTCTATATCGTATTATTTGACCATTATCATGTGATGGTCCAAAAATATGCGATCTTTGATTGATCCTTTTTTATTTATTCTTTCAAGTTACCATCGGTCTGGACTGCATATGACATTTAGCTCTTTTATTTTATGACCATCTTAAATATTAAAAAATTGAGGCCTAAAAGCAGTCCGATGTTAGACGCCTGAAACCTTCAGCTCGGGGAGTGTTGCCGTGATATACTTATACAGCGCCGACTCATCGTTCATGTAAGTCTTCCCTGTACCATTCATGTTGGAGAAGGATTTCGGAAATAAATTTTCAGGGATCCATTAGGTAGACTGTGTTGATTTTGAATATAAAAATTAAAATAATTTTAAAACTTAAAATTGGTCTCTTGAGATTTTTTTTTACACGTCCTATTTCATATTTGGGAAAAGCTTATATAAAGTTGAGGTTCTAAACAATCAAATTAGAGCCTGCATCAAAAATTTCATTAGAAGAGATTGTTTTGATGCACAAATATCCTTAAATTGATCATCTCGACATCGAGATGCATGAACATAAGAAGAAAATTGATTTCAAGTTTTGGAAATAGTGTATTTTGAAATGCATTTTTTACCGTCAATTTTAAGATTTTCAAGTTTTCATAGATCTGTTGATCTACTCTATTTTTTAAGCTTTAAACTTTATAAATAAAGATAAAAATATATGTTAAGGCTATCACAAAGATTTCCAGTATTGAAATTACATTTTTTGACACTATTTGAAGGTAGGCTCTAATTGTGTAGAGCCTAGGCTTTATACAAAACCGCACCGTTCATATTTTAGTTGGTGATGTGGTGAATTTGAGGCGTCCCTGACTCGTACAACATTTTTCCATTTTTATATTTTTTTGGCCTTTCTGTTTACAGGGAGGAATTTAGACTTTTAATTCTACTTGTATTTTGTATTCACTAGGACTACATGCTACTAAGAGGGAAACAAATACATAAAATGTACCATTTATGGACGGGTGCCGTTTGCATTGAGCCTAGGCTCTAAACAATCAATTTCGGATCTACCTTCAAATAGTGTTAAAAATTTTTTCATTTTTTTTCTATAAATACCTTCAAAGTTCATTATACGGTCATGATTGTTTGGTAGTATTTTATTTTTTATTTTTTTTTCTACAAATCGGAATGATATAAAATTTGAAATGTGTATACATCTTAGTGAGGCACACCTAATAAAAATATAAAAAGTAATTCACGAAAAATAAATTGATCAAAATATCCTTGAAAAGATTTAGGGGTATTTTGGTCAATTTATTTCATGTAAAATATTTTTTTGATATTTTTTGTAGATTCGTCTATTTTTTGATGAATATACGCTCCATATTTCAGATCATTCTAATTTGTAAATAAAAAATAAAAAATGAAACACTACCGGATAGTCATGACCGTACGATGAATTTCAGATGGTGATGAGAGTAGGCGAGAAAACTATTTATTTTCACCTATAAGCGTTTTGTA